TGCTGTCCCATCTGTCAGCACAAACCATGCCATTCATCACCTAATCTCAACTGCCTGTCATCACAGCTGGAGCTCGGGAGCCGAGCTGCCCTACCTCGGTCATACCATGCTTCATACTTCAAGCGCCTAACCGGACAAACTCGTGGAGGACCGGGCTAGACGGCACCTCGGCAAAGCCTAGCCCGGGCTCCTCCTTTGGTTGGCCTTCCTGTCGGTCAATCAACTACCTCGGCTGACCGCGCCTTTCCGGGCGCCGGTCTCTCAACCTGTCTCGCTTCGACCATCCTCGGACCGAGCATCCTGGTCTGATCGGTCAGTTCCTGGCCGAGCGGTTTCTGTACGGTCCGGGGTGGCACACACTCAGTCCAACCCTGCCCGGCCCAAGTTCTTGCAGCCCATTTCCGGGCGGAGAGTTGATCAGCTCGGCCCCATACACCGTTGGGCCCTCAACCTGCTCGGCCGTCACCTCGGCCCAACTCCAGATCATAAATTACCCTCTCAGGTACCCATCCCCAACCCATCCCCTGTGGATATTTAAAGAATATCACTTACTCTACCCAATGGATAAGCAAAAGAGGGGAAAACCCATGTATTTGGGTTGGGTCTCCATGGATACCCACAGGGTAGGTTATCCATTGCCATCCCTACATTGTTGTTATAAAATGGGAATATATATATATATATATTTTTTTTGTTACTTTAGATAAAGATGGAAAGTACATTTGCTTGTATGGAGGAGAGAACCTAGATTGGATCCGAAGATTTACCAACAGGACACAAGTTGTTGCAGAAGCTGCAGGCATCCCATTAGAGATGATGTATGTAGGAAAAAACAATCCAAGGAAAAAAGTTTGGAAGATTAGCAGTGTCATTTTGGCCGAAAAACTCAGTCACATATTGCCAGACCCTACTCTCATATGGTTCTTTTGGGTGAGGCTAGAGAGCTTGTGGCACTCCAAAATGCAAAACGGTAAGACTATAGACAATGATCCCATAATGAATGAGATCATGACAATTCTGAGCTTTGATGGAAGTGACGACGGGTGGGCTGTGATGTCAGGGCAAGAGTGAGATGGCTAAAGCCAAGGGTGACACCATTTTGAAAAGCTTAGCTCTATTTGATCAATGGAAGGATCGCATTGGAGAGGTTGGTTTTGTGAATGCACTTAATGATAATCTTAGAGCTTCTCACCCCACAACACTGCGACCATTTGATCTTCCCTTGTACAGCCGAGAACATTCCTAAGACAATTGTTTGTGCTACTTGCAAGACGCATATGGAGAAGTTCATCATGTATCGCTATTGTAGGGATTAAGCTAAATATTCATCATGTATCGTAATGTTACAGACATAATCTGTATGCATAGAAAAATATTCATAAAATTTAGTGTGTGATCGAAATTCACCATACTATAGTTGAATTTAATCACTTTTTATTTTTATATTTTTTTTATGAGTGATTATTACTACTAAAACTATTCTTTTCTACTATACATATAATTTCTCTACACTATCCTTTCTTTTTTTTGCCTTTATTAATTGGGTTGTAATGATGTAACATTATCGTCAATCAATAAACAAATGAAGCTACTTTTAACTATTAGAAATTCAAGTTTTGGGTTATTGTGTTCCATTATTTGTGGCTATTGATCAATATTTAGTGACACAATTACTAACAACCATTGTGTTCAACTCCGAAGTATGTTTAACAAATCCTAGGTAAAGGTGAAATATACAGACCAAAAATTTATATTTACATAATTATTTTGTTTCATATGAACCTTTCAATTATCAATTTTTATACATAATATTGTCACATAATTATAGTAAAATTTTACATATGAATAAAATTTAATAAGTATGTTCACCTAAATTTGTTTACTCACATCACACCATCTATACATGCCACCTCAGTAAATTAATTTAAAAAATATATATATTTTTTTTCAAACTAAAAACAAATAAAGTTGAGCTAGCTCAACAAGCCAACTAGCTACTCTTATATTCTTCTAGAGATTAAAGAGTCTATTGTTAAAACAAAAATTTATTATTTTTTTCCATTATGGATTTGCATATACTGTAATTGTTTCCTTCTTTCATAAATTTGAATTTTTTCTCATAATGGTGGGCTTAGTTGTGGTTGGTTTTCTAACTATACATTGTTATATTATAATTACGCAAATATAATTTTTTTTATATTTATAATTAATGTTCTACTGATTGACTAAAAAAATCACTTCAATCTATATGCACCAATTAATGTACTAACTAGTATACCAATATTAATTATGATATTATTATTAACCCCCACTCATTATACAAATTACTAATATCAAAAATCTCTTAAATTATGCTGTTAGACTTATTTATTTTGATGATTTATTTAATTATGTTTTAATTTATTTGAAATAGAAAAATAGAATCCAAAATTTATTTTGATGATTTATTTAATTATATTTTAATTTATTTGAAAAAGAAAAATAGAATCAAAATTTATTTAGTCCCATTATTTCTCACCTAAACCTTTATCCTAAATGTTGTTAGAATATATTTAATATTTGATTAAATTAGGAGTTCAAACAGCCCAAAACAGAGGTTCAAACGACTTAGCACAACAACAGTTCAAAAGGTTCAAAAAGTTCAAGTGGAAGATATTCAAATTGGTAATGATGGAAGTACAACGGTTATAAATTCAAATGAATACAAAGGCTATAAACGGCTATAAGTTTCATTATATATACCAAAGCCTCTAATGTAAACAAGTTACAAAAAACCTGAAAATATTTTTTGATCTATAACCACTCACATCTATTCTCAGCAAAATTCTCTGAGAAGTGTTCTTCAATTTTTGTTTACATCCTCTTTCAGAAATTATACACTGTGAGGTTTACAAAAAAATCAGAATTTCATTTTTATATCTATTTTTGAGAGATAATTCTTGTAACTTTCTGTGAAAGTAAAAACACATTCTTTTCAACCTTGTAAGAGTGTAGTACACTCAGTGTTCTTGACTTAGAAAGT